CTTCACAGTTGATAATATTCTAATGCTTCTTTTTTAAAGAGTTTTTTTTTTTTTTTTTGGGTGTGTGTGGGGGTGTGTGGGGGTGTGTGTGTGTAGGTGTGTGTGTGTGCTTGCGTGTGTGTGTGTGTGTGTGTGTTTCTTTTTGTTCTTTTTGGGACAAGATGTCACTATATAGTCCAGGATGGTCTTGAATTTAATTAAGATCCTTCTGCCTCAGCCTCCTAAGTGCTGGAATTACAAACACAAATCACCCCAACCAGCTCAAACTCATTCTTTCTGAGTTAAATTAACAGAAAGTATTCACAGAATCCACCTGCATTTGTCACACTGCTTGTGTTCAAAGTGAGATTGTCCAATGACAGCACCTACCATCTGTAACTGGATGGTAATAGACATAGATCATGCCATGGTCAGATAGCAGGTTGGCATGTCTGGGGTCACTATCATTATTAAAACAGGAAGTTGGGGGCTGGGAGATGGCTCAGTGAGTAAGGGCTGTTGCTATGCAAGCAAGAGGACTGGAGTTTAAATTGATAGCACCCACATTAACAAGAATCCCAGCACTGGGGACTGGTGGAGACAGAGATGTCAGGAGCTTACTGGCCAGCTAGCCTAGCTAAAACAGCAAGCTTCAGGCTTTGTGAGAGACCCTGTCTCAAAAAATATGGTGGAGGGTCTGGAAAGATGGTTCAATGGTTAAGAGCACACACTGCTCTTAACAGAGGACCCTGATTTTGGTTCCTAACATCCACATAGGACAACTTACAACCACCAGTAACTCCACCAGTAGCTCTAGGGGATCTAATGCCCTCTTCTGGCCTCCAAGGGTACTATAGTCACTTGCACAAGCCCCTACACAGACACAGATATACACATAATTTTAAACATTTTTTTAAAGTTGGAGAACAATAGAGGAAGATACCAGACATCCTTCTCTGGCTACAAGCATGCACATATCACACAGACACACACAGACACACACACACTTGCACTCTCACATACTCATGCACATACATGAGAGAGTGAAAGCTGAAACATTTACAGGCAAACCAGGCTGAGCACAGTGGACCCTGGCTGAAGGCCTTGGATGACTCTCTTCATTTTTCTGAGTTTCTTCAGCTGAGTATGGAGGCTTCGAACACAGATGCATCGTAAGGCTAAGTGAGCAAACGTATAAAACAGCTGGCACAGGAGGTATCTGTGGGAAGTGAGTAGACATGTTTCTACTTTTAGCTCATCAGTAGAACTGATATGAGGCAAAAACAACCAATGTATCATTTTAGCAGGCTTTGCCCCAAACCACCTGAGTTACCCCAGCCAGGTCCCTACAGAACACAGCCAGGTAATGCCCCATCATTCTTTCCTGGGAAGGGGTTCCCAGGGCTCCTCAACTCACCAACACAACCATGTTCCACATCACCAAAGCCTGGAAGACCTTGTAGTGTAAGTACAGATGAAGTTCAGTTTTTATTTAAAAAGCCTAATTTCTGGACATTTATTTGGGAGATTACAATGGTGGCTTAAGCTACTTGAAGACACTGAAATCTTTCCTTCATTCGGCTGCTAAAGTTTAATTCACTCTAATTATTTCATATGGCATCGACTATAATAGTTTCATAATTTCTAGTATATTAAGCACTTAATATGTTGTGTCATTTGAAATCACATATTAAATTCAGCAAAGTACATTTTAATGAGAGTTAAGTGGTGTGAAAATATTAATACAATGTGGCGGTTCATCTTGGTGCTCTGATTTTCTGATTTTGCACGTCTTTCCTGACAGGCAAATGCTTAGTACACCAGGTAAGGGAAGTGATTAGCTACTGATGCTCCTATGAGAGAGGGAGTTAAACCCTACTACTGCGGCAGCTTCTGGTGGGGTTTCTCACCTGGCCTCACATCCCTTGACAGCAAGTTCGGGAATTCTGTCTTCCATTCTAGTGAAGAGAAAGCCAAGGCTGGCAATTGCAGATGACCCAGGGAGTTAGCAGAGGGGCTGCTGGGACTTAAACGCTGCAGTTTCCCCCTGTGTACCACAGCTGCTGTTGAAGCAGCCTTGGGAGTAGGTGATGTCAGAACCCAGGGTGTCAAGATTTTGGGGAATAGCCTACTTTTCTTTCCACCCTGCAGAACTACACAGATATGCCTACTCAGCCAGAGAAACTAGCAAGTCTGTCTTCAGATTCAGCATCATCTTTCTCCTCCTCCTTTTTCCTTCTCTAAATTTATTATTGTTGTGTGTATATGATGCTTGTGTACATGTGGAAGTCAGAGGACAACTTTGTGGAATTGGTTCTCTGCTTCCACCATGTGGGTTCTGGGGACTTGTGTGGCAAGCACTTTACCCACTGGGCCATTCCCAGCTCCCCCTCCCTTTTCAAGACAGAGTCTCACGTAACTGAGGATGATGTTAAACTCCTGGTCCTTTTGCCTCTACTTCCCAAGTACAGGCTTGCCTGTGCAATCATGCCCCAGCTGTGCTGTGCTGGGAATAGAACCCAGGACCTTGTCCATGTTAGGCAGTTCCATCCTAAGCCCTAGTAGTTTCTCTTCTTGAACTATTACTGAGTCCCCCAGACCCTAAGACTAAGTAAGCACTCTGGGCTCTTCAGACACCCTGGCAGGCCAGAGACAGTTTCCATGAACTAAGTCACAGGAGCCCTCCAATGAGCAATAGCTCAGTGTGATGAAGCATCAATGGCTGGGGTTAAGGCCACAGGCCACAGCAAGGACTCTATAGAAGCCCTGGCATTGTGTCCTTATATATGTTGGGGAAGGTCAGGTCTCAGAGCCACAGAGAGCTGTGGGCAAATTTGAGCACGGTCACTGACCAGCTGTATCCTTAAGTAGGAGGTCTAGGCTTTCCCCATCAATAGAGTAGAGACAAGAACCCCTCCGTCTTGTCTAGGATGATGATGTCACTCAGCAGTAGAGTGCTTGCCTGGGATGGGTGAGACCCTGGCTTTCATTTCCAGCACTGGGAGAAAAAACAAAACGCAATCTCCCATGTGCTTACCTTTCAGAGACTTCCAGATGAAATAGAACACTAGAAGTATTCATCACAAAGGGCAAAGAATTATACCACCAGAGTACAGGGACCAGTGGTGTCTGTGCTGTTCCCAGAGTCACCACCTCTTAACCAGTGACTCCAGTAACTCAAACACAAAGGATTACCAAGACAGCTGTGTAGGCTAGAGAGAGAGCTCAGTGGTTAAGAGCATTGGCTGCTCTTGTAGAGGGAGGACCACAGTTCAAATCCCAACACCCATACGGTGGCTAATAACCATCTCTAACTCCAGTTTCAGGGGATCCGACACCCTCTTCTGATGCCCATGGGCACTGCATGACATGGGTATACTTACATACATGCAAGCAGAACACTCATACACAGAAAACAAAAATAAATTAATTAAAAAGTAAATAAATACTGTTATCTCTCTCTTTTTTTTTTTTTTTTTTTTTTTTTTTTTTTTTGTATTTTTGAGACAGGGTCTTCCTGTAGCCCCAGCTGGCCTGGAACTTGCTATGTAGACCAGGTTGGCCTCGAACTCACAGAGATCCATCTGCCTCTGCCTCCTGAGTGCTGGGATTAAAAACATGTGCCACCACGCCAGGGCATTATCTCATTTTTAAAAAAAGCATCTGGATAAAAATACTTTCCATACTAAGGAGAAAAAAATTGGGGAATCTGTCCCATCCTGTTTTCCTATAAAAAAATTAGTTTCATCTATACAGTTGCAAAATTAAAGAAAGAAGAAAAAGGAGTACAGACATGGTTGTCTGTTATTTTTCATGCCTACCATGCACTTCCCAAATGCCTGGTGCTTTCCTAAGCCTTTTATCTGAATCAGCCTGCCCAGGGTGCTTGGGCTTTTTCACAGAGAACCTGCTGCTAATCTCCAAACGACATTGCTAAGTGGCAGCAGAGTCACCATTCTACAGGTGGGGAAATAGAGAGTTGAGACATTCTAAACAAGGCATGGTGACTCATGCCTGTTATCTCAGCACTTGAGAGGCTGAGGCAGAAGGACTGCCATCAGTTTAAGGTCAGCCCGGGTTGTACAGTGAGTTCCAGGTTAGGCAGTCTCAAAAAAAAGTTGTTCCAGGCATGAACATGTATAAATAGAAAACCTGGAGACAATAAAAGGGATGGCTTGGCCTGTGCTGCTCCCCAGATCCATGGCAGGAAGGGGACAGGAGTTTCAGCATCTGGAATGAGTTGGAATTGAATTGGTCTCACCACATAATAGACCAAGATCTCAGCGTGCACTCACCTGGGGAAGCCTGGAAGAATGTGGAGAGGTCAGCTGCTCAGACTTGCTCTGCCTCTTCTCTCAGGTATACCTTGAGCACCAGCCTGCCCTGCACAGTCATCCACACTGAGGTCTCAGATTGCTTCAACAGAGAAGATATAGCTTCAAGGTTCACACAGAGCATGAGCTGTCTGGGACTGCAGGTCCTCTAGTCCATGTTGCTGTGACTGGGGCCTCTGGTCAGGCAGGCCTGTAGACAATGTGCCTCCCTCAACAACAGCTCCAAGATGCTGTTTTAATTACTTTTCTCTTTGTTGTCATCAAATAGTTGACAAGTGATTTAAGGGTAGAAGAGATACAGTCCATCATGGTGGGGAAGGCACATCAGCAGGAGCCTGAGGCAGCTGGTTATACATAGGATCCAGTGGGCTCAGCACACTTTTTTTTTTTTTTTTTTTGAAACAGGGTCTCCCTGTAGCCCCAGCTGGCCTGGAACTCATTATGTAGACCAGGCTGGCCTTGAACTCACAGAGATCCACCTGCCTTTGCCTCCCAAGTGCTGGGACTACAGGCATGTGTCAGGACGCCCTGCAACACTTTCTCCTTTTTATGTAGTCCAGGACTCCATCCCAGGGAATGGTGCCACCTATAGGGTGGATCTTCCCACCTCAACTTAATCTAGAAACTTCCTTATAGACACAGAAAGAGGCTTGTCTCCACGGTCATTCTAAATCCCATCAAGTTGTCAACACCATGGTCATTCATCCCTGCCACAATTCTTCAGAGATGGTTCTGGCTGTTTCTCTGTATATCTAACTGCTTCTGCTATCCGGCTGACACAAGTTCCTGGCCAGTCCCAGTTCTAATGAGATAATAAATGAAACACATGACGTTCTCTGAGAGAAAAAACATACTTTTAGAGAATCCTAGAACTCATATCTCTACCAGCATCTTCCCATAGGAAATACCTCTTTTCTTCATTGTTCAAAATCAAACCTCGCTCTGCTTTTCCTTGCTCAGGGTGAGCCCCTCCAACAGGACTTGGGCACAGCACCTCATTTCTTGGGGTTCCGCAGCCCAAGGCACTCAAGCAAGACTATGCAAAGCCTGGTCACCCAGGTCTGCAGGGTGGAGAGAAAACTCTCAAGTCTATAGGAGCCTAGTTGTCAGTGTAGCTTCAGGTTTGCTGACCACATCCTTCACCTTTAGTACCTATGCCTCCAAGGTCTAGGGGTTGGGAGGAGACTGAGGCTTCCTGGGAATTCACAGTCTGTCCTAGTTTGTTTCTTCATTGCTGTGACAAAATACTCTGACCAATACCAACCTGGGGAGGAAAGGGTTTATTTAGCTTACATATGCCGGGTCAAAGTTCATCCGGGAGCCCAAGGTAGGAACTCAGGGCAGGAACCTGGAGGCAGGAGCTGGAGCACAGGCCACAGACGAATGCTGCTTACTGACTTGCTCCCCTGACCCCTGCTCAGCCTGCTTTCTTATGCAACATAGGCCCACCTGCCCAGGGATGGCACCACCCACAGTGGGCTGGGACCTTCCACATCACTTAACAATCAAGAAGGTGCCCCATGGACATGGCCACAGGCCAGTCCAATGAAGGCAATTCCCCAATTGAGGCTCCCTCAACCCAGGTATGTCAAGTTGACGCAAGCTATCCAGCACAGTCTCCTTGGTTTTCCCCTCACATGGCTCCTCCATGCTAGCTCTCATCCTCCAGCTCCTACCACATCCATTCTGTCTCCTCCATTCACCCATTATCTTGGTCTGTTTTCTGTTGCTATAACAAAATATCCAAGGTGAGAATCTATAAAGAAAAGAGGTTTATATAGCTCATAGTTTTGGAGGCTTAAAGTTCAAGGTTTGGTAAGCCCCATCTGCTTGGCCTTTGGTGAGGGCACTTGGCTACATCACTACACGAATGGCATCGTTTGGCACGGCTGCAGGGGCTGTGGGAGAAATCACAGAGCAAGAGGAGGCAGGAGAGGAGCTAAGGACATAAACTAGCTTTACTCTTATGGTAAACAATCCAATCCCCGAATGGCAAGAATTCAGTTCCAGGGCTGGAGGGATGGCTCAGCAGCTAAGGGCACTGGCTGCTCCTGTGGAGGGCCCAGGTTCAGTTTCCAGCTATCAACCATCCATAACTCCAATTCCAGGGGATCTGAGGCCCTCTTCTGACCTCTGAAGCACTGAATGCACATGGTGCACTTGCATGCAGGTAAAGCACTCATACACATAAAACAGAAATAAATCAAAAAATTTCAAAAAAAGGAATTCAGTTTAGAAAAAAACAAAACAAAACATTCACACCTTCATGAGTGGAGCCTCCATGACCTAACTGCCTTCCACTCCATACCACCTCTAAAAGATTCTACCAGCTCAACACCAACCAAGTTTCTAGCACACAAACCTTTAGGCATAAAGCACAGTAGCACCCTCCACCTTGTTCCATGCTGGGCTGAGGTTAGCACGGTTCTCCTCAGCAGGTCATACATCTACACCACCTACAGATTGTTCTGGGGCTTTCTACACCTCAAGATGATCAGCATCGTTTACCCTTGTAAAAGAGAAAACAAAAACAATATTGGAATTTTTTTTTGACACAGTCTCCCCTCTGCCTCTGGAGTACTGGACTTAAAGTACTATGCCCAGCCAGAATTTTTAAAATATTTTTTCTTATTTTTGTGTGCATGTGTGTATATGCTTGTATGTGCTTGTGTGTGTGTGTGTGTGTGTGTGTGTGTGTATACCATGACACAAGTGTGTGGTCAGAGGAAACTTGCAGGAAAGAGTCTTCCACAATGTATGTCCCAGGGATTAAACTCAAGTCATCTCGCTTGGTGGCAAGCACATTTACCCCTCTGAGCCACCTCTCCAGCCCCACAATACTGTAATTTTACATCTTGCTAACTATATTCTCTCAGAAAAGCCCTTCAGTTACACAATTACAGCATGTCAAGGCTGAGCAAGGCATTAACAGTAAGGTCGCTGCCTCACTTTGTTCAAGATTAAATAGTACCAGAGCCAGAAACAATGGGCACTAGAACCCAGAGCTCTTTCCTCTGCCCCACAACTGCTGGACAAGAAAAAACAAATGGACAAGGAAACAAAATAAAACCACCTCAGGCTTAAAACAACACAGGCTCCTGGAGCCAGAAATGGTGAACAATAACCAGGTCTGTCTCCTGCTGGTTTCCACAATAAGGCTGTTATGAACCCATGGGCTGTACCTGTCACTGTGACACGTGTGCGCAGCCACTGTGTTGAAAAGGCTCTCCTTCTAAATAAATGAATAAAAACCGTGGATGCTAATTGAAGATCAGCATCATCTCCCATCAGTGTTAATAAGCTGTTTGGTTATTTGCAATTCCCTTTTGTAAATCTGAGGGAAACATCATCGCCCAAATTAGCTCTTTTCCCTCAATAAAGGCCATTATTAGCATTCTGAGTTTTGCAGTTGCTTACTGCTTATTTAGAAAGAGGTCACATGAGAAGCTGGGCGGCCTGCACCTCATTTCCATCTCATTGAAAAAAGGTAGAGAGCGCGAGAGTCAAGCCTCGAAAAACTAGTCTTGGCTGAGGCTGTGCGGGTCCTCTAGCTGTCTCAGTTCGGAGGGTGAGCACTGGGGAATGGAGATGGGGTGCCAAGCACCTTCCTGTGGCTTCCAGATAGAACTGGCCCCTCAGGTGACTTCTGCCTGGAAGTCCCTGTCCCTGTTCTGTGTATCAAGTAGCCACTCAAACGCGAGAGTCAAGCCTCGAAAAACTAGTCTTGGCTGAGGCTGTGCGGGTCCTCTAGCTGTCTCAGTTCGGAGGGTGAGCACTGGGGAATGGAGATGGGGTGCCAAGCACCTTCCTGTGGCTTCCAGATAGAACTGGCCCCTCAGGTGACTTCTGCCTGGAAGTCCCTGTCCCTGTTCTGTGTATCAAGTAGCCACTCAAAGGTCGCCTCCCCAGGAACCCCCCCC